AATGATTGTAATAGGACTTGTCCTACTGGACTAAGATTGAATTCCTCAAGGCAGAATGTATCCTTTTTCGCAAGCGAACTATAAAATCCATTGGTGAGTTCAAAAGAGCATTGGACAGTCGGCCGGTAAATACATCTAGGAAGTTCCGCACAATTTTCGGCAACATAGTTAATGTGAAACAACGGCATTAGCAGAGTTATAGGTAAAAGTAAGGTTATTTTAGGAGGATTTTATCATGTGCAATGTCTACACTTAAGTCTATATTACGAGATGTGGATACGAACTTTTTTTTCTCGAAATATGACGCTTAAAATATTCGATAATTAATGTCATACTCAACAGTGCCCACGAGCATGCCTGGACGTTTTAGACATAACTCTTTTACACGCAGCACTCTCGGTATATCAATGCTATAATAGTACGATTTGCTTCTGAATACATAAGGACGGACATGCATAGAATATATAAACTTTCACAGTCATTCCTCTGCCTTAGCACTTAAGACTTCTCAGCCTGTTTCGAGGATTGGAAGAAATGCTAGCGTAAGTGTATCGTATCGGTTGAGGTGCACTTTGAAGGCCACGAAAGTGGTTTGAAAGAATAACTAAACAATTTCTTTTCATAAGCAAACTCACCTTGTCTTTTTAATCCGAGTAGCTTGGTTAGGGACTTATTATGATGCGGAAGGTGTTAGAGATATTACAGCGCGATCAAATACGGTACGACAAAGTGTTTTTCAATTATCGCCCTTTCGCCAGAAGGAATTGCTAAAAAGCAATATACATTGAGTGTTATATGTCTCTTCCGTGCAACGATTCGTAAGAATCATATATGTGCGCATTCATGCAACAATGCTTTATCGACGGCTTTTCATGTTGAAGTAAATTTGAAAGAATAATAAGCAGTTTTTCTTTTTATTTGAAAAGTCTTACATCCTTTTAAAAGCAGTTTTTCGTTTCGTACACATATACGCATATATATACGTATGTCATTATCATATGTTTAAAAATATATTTTTCAAGTATGGCATCAGTTTCCATAAAATATGCATAAAAAATGTGAATTTTATTTCGTCGAAAGTTCGCTTAATAAATGAAAATTTTATTTACTGTTGCATATTAACCATTATAAAGAAGAGAATATGGATAAATGCATCAAAGTGTTTGCGTTTTCAGCTTTTGCTTCCTGCCGCTTAAAATTGAACCAAAATAATAAACTTTTAATATTAATATGATATTTAATACCACAATGATGATGATGTTGATGAAATTAACAAATTTTTATGAACCTACGCGTTTTATGGTAAATGAAAGGAAAACACCAATGGCATGGCGCATCATTAAATACCCTACAACGCTTCGTTTATGGGGTTCAATGGTCCGATGGCAGACTATTTTTAATAGCATTCTCCCTTAGGCATGTTGATTTATCAAAGCTGAACATAGGACAACAAGAGGGACACGCGAACAGACAACAGACTTGGATCGATTCTAAAAGTGATTCTGAATCAATAAGCGGATCTATCGCAAGTCCTCCTTCTTCCATTCGCACATACTTAATATAATCTTATATATAGTGTATACAGTATATAATATGTAACAAGTGTTGTAGGGTTTAACGGACTCGAAGATATTTAAATTAAAGTCGGCGATTCTGATTTGGCGAATTTTTCTTTTTCAAACCTAGTAATAAACAGAAAGGACTATGATGATTATCAGTTCAGCCTCCCATCGTTGCTTGCTTGTTCCATGCTCAAGCGTCATTTGTCTAATATACCCTTAGAGCAATTTCTCAATTTGCTTTAAAAGTACGCGGTAACGGCGTGAAGTATTCGTCGAATGTACGTAGGATTTGTTAAAAATCGCTGCGATCGGTCCTTTGAAGGGTCCTTAACGAAAAAATATATGCCTAACTAATAGATATCGCTCTAAAGCGAATCCTCTAATTTGCTTGAACGAAACGTATCCTAAAACTTTTTAGTTTTTCTTCATCATATTATGTTAGCCAATCTAGAAGCACTGAAGAAAGCTTAAAAATTTGTTTTTTTCGCAAAAAAAAAAAAAAAAGTTATAAAAGTCACATATGATAGTTTGCCGCATTATGCATCTTAGATGAGGAGAAAACTTTGAACAAATAAGAAGAAAATTGGCTCCACATATCTTTTTCGCCTTAAGACATGTTGAATTTGAGCCAAACTACGCATATGTGCATCACATTCATATCAAAGTGTTTTATTATTAAACGCACACACACACACAAACACACATAAAGTGAAAATTCTCTTAATGATTAAATTACCTCTAATAAGGAGCAACTTTTGAGAATCATTTCTCTCTTAAGAAATGCAGAATTTTATCAGAAACACGATCTATCTTTACCAACAATGTCGGCTAATGGTAAGCTTTCTAGGATATCGAGTGCTCGATAAGCAGGTGCCTAAGTAATAATATTTCGGCATTCTAAGTTGGTATGAAAACTTTTGACCCGTTGGGGAAATCTTTAAACCCACTCTCACATATCGAAAACTGAAGTTCATCAAAACGGTATCATTTTGTATGCTTCATGATGAATATTATAGTAAAAATAATAATTTAACACAGAAAAATTGACTGTACAAAATTTGGACTATCTCAGCCCTATCCTAATGGCGATCTTCACGAAAATTGATCCTTTGTAGACAAGAAAAGTCTAAGTTTTAATATGTGGTGATGAAAATTGACCCATTATAGTGATTTCATACAAAAATAAGAATTGTGTTGGACAATGTGGTGTAGGGTATTTAACGGCTGGCCTTGCCCGACTATAATGTTCTTACTTTTTTTTTTTATAAGAAATCTGCTTTTTTCATTTTCAAAAACCAAATGCATTTTTTTTTAATTTACCGTCATTCTTAAAACATAGGGAACTGCCACGTATTCTACAGCATTTCAAGTAATACGATTCAACTTTGTGCGTCTCAACTTCTTTTGCAATGGAAATAAGGAGATTATCAATCCATAAATATAGACTAATGACGATTTACTAAAGGTGTTCTATAAAAGTAGGATGCAGTGACTGTGAATGGCAGAGTCAACGGCATTCAACCAGTGTTTAATAAGGACTGATGAAAAATGGCAAAAGATCATTGCAATTGTATATCAACACGCTGTGGAAGCTCCACCGCATACAGCTTTAATAGAACTAGACACGATATTGCACACTCATAATCAAAGTTTGCGTAGTATAGCAGAGATGCTTTTAGGGAACAGTTCGCAGCATTAAAACGTTTTATGCGTTACTGATGCAGTAAAATGGAATTAAAATTTCATTAAGAGGAAACTTATGCATCAATATTGATGGTGAGAAGCAACATCTTGGCTAGAAAACCATTGTCCGACATTGTTGCATATATGTCACTGGCGAAACGAAGAAAGAGCAAAACACAATATCAAGCGGCACGAAGGCGGAATGTAATGCACTGAATGAAGCCGTACACATACGAAACTTGACAAATGAAATCGGTTTATCAATTTAAGGTGATGCTATTATAATTCCTGATAATAATCTTAGTGCCCAGGAATCAGAAGACAACCAATACATCATGGAGATAATAAATTTGCATACAAGTAGTATGCAAGCAGAGGGAGAAAACGAAGAATTTGTCAAAGACTTTAACTTTTTGTAATAATTGCTACAAATACAACCCTGCAGAAAATGACCCTCCAAACTCCTTTCCTCTCAAGCTATAAAAAAACAAAAAACATTGGCAGATTTTTATTCATTTGTTGACGCTGGCCCTTTTAATGCCCGCTTTCAAAAAGCAATCGTTTTTCAGTAGTAGATCAAATTTATATAGAATTTTTTTTTTTTTTTTAAGTCAAAATATAAACATATTTCCTCTTGCCCTTAAATTTACTGCTTATATAATCCATTGAATTGAATGACAAATCCTTGAAAAGTTTTTATACGAGCATATATGATAAAATAAAACAAAATTTAAACACAAATTCTAACAATTGATAAATTTTTAATAAACTATTGACATCTGTTGCCATTTTACTTTATTTCTTAGGACATTTCTCTTAAGATTTCTCCCGCACGACTAAACCAAAATTCTTATCTCATCAATCATTTCCACACGCACGCGATTAACACGGATCCAACTTCGGGGTCTTCTATTAGAAATCATGGGCTGAAGGAGACCTAAGGTAGGGCAAAGCGTCGAATGGGCTAGGGCTTATGATCTGCCCGTCTCTTCAAGTGGCTGCTAGGAATAACCCAGTCAGTATTAACGCCGGCAGTTTGATATTCAAGCAACAGGATTCTTGCAAACATCCTACAGTTACAAAAAATGACGAAAGTTTAGATCCCGTCCGCCCGTCTCTATAAGCTCTGATCCTCTTCAAGCGGCTGTTAAGAGCAGCCCAGTCAGCACTTTGAGATTGAGGCAAACAGAAAGGATTCTTGGAGACATCATACAGTTATAAAAAGTGACGGAAGTTTAGACTCCGCCCGCCCGTCTCTACAACATCCGATCATCTGTAAGCGGCTGTTAAGAGCAACCCAATCAGCTAGTTGGTATTCAGACAAGCAGGGAGGATTCTTACAGACATACTACCGCTGCAAAAAATGACAAAAATTTAAACCCCCACCTATTCGTCTGTCCGTCCCTACAACCTCCGATCCTCTTCAAGCGGCTGTTAAGAGTAGCGCAGTCAGTGGTTTGATATAGAGACAGGGAAACAGGGAGGTATCTTACAGGCATCCTTCCGTAACAAATGGTGTTGCAATATTGAAAGTAACTTCTTTTCCAAAGTGCAATATGTTAGTATACTGTATTGTGTTTGCGAGAATTCAACTATTTTTTTCCATTAAGCTTTTTTTAAACGCAATAAATATATGAAAATATCTTAAACTTTGGAAATGCGTAAGCATGAAAAAATAATTTGTTGTTTAAGGAAAAGTTTGAAGTCAGGTTTTAATGTTAAATCGCTCCTTTACTGAGAAATGTTGCAATTGCCTTACGAATATTTCAGAGAACTTATTTGTTGGTAAAAGCTCGCTTCATATCTGATAAATAGCATCCATCATATATACATAAACAAGATGGAATAGTTCGACCCAAATAGAATTGACTTTGTTTCCGTTAGAAACAAAAATCCCTTGACTGTAAATAGGACATAGGAGGAGGATAAACGACAAATGATTTTTTTTTGTATACGTTTTTATCATATTTACAATGGAAACGATTGTTACTTTGTTTGCGTACTAACCACGAAAAAGAAAATAAAATAAAAATCATTTATTGCTATTTCTTCTAGGAATTCGTAATGAATGATTCTTATCGATTTTTGGTTAGTACGCAAACAAAGTTACGTTTTCGAGCAAAAATCATTAACAGTTTGCACTAATTTCACTGTGCTTAGAAAACCGAAGAAACAAAAAAGCGAAAAACTTTCTAACGAAATTGCGAAGTAAAGGGCATAGACATCACGTTCCGGGGGGACAACCATCGTCGGTTTCAGATTCTTCCTTGCACAATTCCAATTCGCATTCTTCATGCGCGCCTTCGTAGCATACTTCCATTTTTCTTCCCTCTTCGCGATAGCCAGCGTATATTTCGGCCCTCTGTTTGACAATCTCCTTAATAAGAATTTTAAGAACTTCGCGGCAGTCGACAATTTGGCCAACTTCCTCGGAGACGCCGGTCGCCAACCACGGGCAAAGGCTGTCAATAAGTTTTTGCCGCTTGGTTGCATCGGTGGCTGGTTCAAGATTATCCAAAATTTCTGGAAGTATGCTAGCAATGTGTCCTTGCAATATTTTCGCGGCGATAACTTCCTTTTGGATTTCATCGTCCATTGACTTGGCAATGGCATCTTGTCGTATTCGTCTTTCCTTTTCAGCCCTTAGACGTATTTCTTCGTCTTCCAGTCGACGCAATTCCGCCAACTCGGCTTCACGTTGAGCAAGCAATTCATCTTGTCGTCTGCGTATAGTTTCGATTTCGCGTTCATGAGATATTTCTAATACCGTCATCTCGATTGCGCCGTCGACCATGACTTCAATAATTGGTTGAGCTTCCGCATCGAAGTGGAAGAGTTCTCCCTCGCCAATTTCCGTTCCGACATCTATCCCAATTTTTGCCGGTGTGTAAGGTGGTTCAGCTGGTTTCTCAAGAAACAAATCTGTTTGAGTTTCGGCATCAAACTCGGGCGTATTTAATACCAATTCCTCTAAATATTTATCGGTCTGCATAATTTCATGACGTCGGCCGCGCACAGGGGGCGGTGTTCCTAAAATATTTCGTAAATTTTTCTGGCAACACGAGTTATTGCGTAGCGTCAAACATCTCCTTGCTTCCTTGAATTTATTCCGTGGTTCATAATCCACTAAAAGTGAATTCGCCCCGTAATTAGGACCTTTGACTACCCTTTTGTCATACATAACGTTCTTATAAGGATCAGGAGGCGGTGGTTCTTGTCGACCTTTGGAACCTTTCTTTGCTTGCGGGACTGCGGACCACCAAAATGGCAATTTGCATGGTTGCGCCGGACAACCTTCCGCTAAATTTAAATGTATATTGGTTAGACTCGTTCCCGATCGATTTGCATGCGAACTATGATTGCCAACGACAAAGGGTGGCTTTTTGTCTCGACCAAATGGACGCTGTGTAGGCATAGTTTTTCCCCGTTTCCCGTTCCTCCTTCAATTTAATTATTTACGAAATTATTACAAATTTGTTTAATGCACGTAAAAAAATTATATATCTAGTTTTAAAAATATATTCTATGGCTATATGACCGATGATTGTTATTTCCGAGATATCCAAACAAACAATAATTGGATACAGATTTATTGATTGCTTCACAAAAATTTAAAAAAAAATATCTGACAATTTTTCATTTGATAATTAATTCATGTTTTGCTGAGACTGTTTTCTTTCCTCACCTTCTACGGTACGCAGATACTTAATTCAATGAACATTGCTAACATATTGCAGGAATGACAAGTCTGATGGTTGAATAGAGGATTTTGGAATACAATAAGCATGTAGGCATCTGCAAGAATAGTTGCGTCTTTTCATAGTCTTTAGAATTGCTTTTGAGTTTGCAACAATTGTTAATAAATCCAATCGCTTACTAAACCGACTATTAGTTTAAAATATTCGATATATCTTGTTATTAACGATTGCACAGGATACTTTGAATCTTGAACTGAATCACGGAAGCATTGAACTTCTCGACCAGTCAAGTCTTCTGCAAAGCTTTCTCTGCAAACAAACTGACGGAATTCGCAAAGAAATTTCAAATCGTTGAGAAAATGTTAAAAAACACAGTTTGACTACCATCTGATCTGGAACGATGAACAGTTAACCCTAATGATGACATCACAACGAATTCTCAAAATTTGACTGCCATCTGACCTGAAAGGATGAACGGTGGAACATTTAGCGCTGATGATAACATGACAACGAATTCTCTTCATTATTAGCTGGCATTAACGACGATGCCATCCGATATGCAGATACTTAGTTCAATGAACGTTGCTGGAATGGCAACCGGCGGAGGGTTTTTATCTATTGTACAGTGTTCAGAAAATAACTGATGATCATAGGTTTTTGTTTTTTTTTTTTTTTTGTTTTTGCCCAATAGATGCTTAATTTAAATGAATTCATTTTAAAAGAATTTCAAATCTAGAAACATTTTCGTCAGAAAATATGTTGATTAGTGATGAAAGCAATTGAATCGAATTATTTCAATGAAGCATTGAATTCGTTCCGGCTGTTTCGTGATAATATTTACTTTACTATTATGCTTCTAGTTTTTAGCGAAATTCTTGCCAACTTAGTGAAGCTGAGTACGTGCCATAAGCTTTATAAATGGGAAAAAGGAAAGGAAAGCATTAGTTCTCACAGTTTATTTTTATTCCTTTTTTTTTTGTTGGGGTATTTTCTGATTCAATTTCAAAATAAATAAAGAAATCAATACGAGAACAGTAAATAATAACAAGAACAATGACAACAACAATTGTGTCAGAATTATAGCACTCGCACAAATCGGATGAAAATGGTGTGCTGGTTATCGACAGAGTAAAATTTCTCCAAAAAAAAAAAAAAAAAAAAAAATATGGAGAACTTAGTTATGCCAAATTTGTTAATAAAATCCTATTACTCGTTTTTTCTTTTTATTGTCTCTCCTTTCGCACTAAATTCGTGTATCAATTTTTGTTTTCAACATTTTTGCTGAATTTTTATTTGTCTTTTTGTCATATTTTGTTATTTCACGTCGTGACAACTGGTGTTATGTTGATGTTGTTGCGCTTACTTTACTTTTTACTAGCGACAGTAATTTTATTTTTATTTGACACACAATCAATACATGGCAGAGAGAGAGGGGGAGAGGGGGAGAGAGGGAGAGAGGAAGTTAGAGAGTTTTATTGCTTTTTTCAATTTTTTTAAAAAATTGACTAAAATTTGAGTTTTATTGAACAATTGCATTAGAACTAGACTTAAACGAACAAAAAATTTTTTTTTCATATTCAATTTAAATTGAAGTTTGCATGTGTATTATGTCGTTCTGATTGTAAGTAAGTATCTTAAAAATAAAATTGAATTTCTTTACCTTTTAATTAAGTATTATAAAAATTTTACAAAATTAATTAAGTAATATATTCAAGGTTTGGTGGTGTTGTTCTTATTCAAATCAGTTTCATTGCCATACTCACTAAGAGGATTATTCCTTCGAGTTTTAATACCAAGCTATAGTATATGCAATTATTTCTAATATAAATTTTATCTGCCTCCGCAAGCTCTTCGTCCTCTCCTGCTCGTCTGCAATAAGTGTGCACTTTACGTAAGTAACAAGCTAAGTGAAGAAAGCCCATCAAAGTGTTCCCACATTCCTTTAGAGCTGTGCCTTTAGTAAACAGTTTTGCTAAGCTGTGATTAACCAAAGAGGAAAAACAAGCCGATAAACAAGATAAGTAGAAGCTATACGCATAAAAAAAAAACTTAACTTTATGATCACCACACCCCATGTTAGCGGAGTATAGGAAGACGAACACGAAACACGAAAAATGATAACCGAAAAATTATATTATGGATATGCCTATGGTGATGGATAACAGGTAAGGAAATTGTATTCGGTTGTGGCCCAGACTTCCGTACCCACCACTTTTACTCTTGGCAATTTGACTATGAGTAGTGAGACTCAGAATGTGTATACTTTAAACGGTGCTTGAAACTTTCTTCTGGGTGTTATAAATGTTTTGACAAAAATGAACGCTAGCCCAGCTTCACGTTCCCTTCGTTAGTGACATGTGTACTGTTAGTTGATGAGTCGGCATCAGGTTTTTTCCGCTCTTTAAGCATTGAGGGCCATCTGATAAACTGTTGTGCCAACTTTGTGGTCGACATCTGCTACAAATTTGTAATTATTGGCAACGGATCAGGTCCATTTTCCATTTGGATCTATGTCCATCAGCTAAGAACATGTAATTTTTTTCTAGAAATGAAAGGTATATTGCTTCCGAATTTTACATTGGCACGCATCTGCACACATCTCCAGTTCTTACGGATGCGGATCGCAAGGCAAGTGTACTTCACCGCATAAAATCCCCATAAGGGATTATCTAATAATGTTTATATTTAGTATTTTCATCATTACTTTGATTTTGTGTTAAGTTTGAGAAATAACTAATCATTAGAACGGTTCTCAAAAATTTATTTGGCCGATAAAAACGACTTAATAAATTATGTTGAACTCTGTATCTATGCATTATTAATTTCATTATAAATTTATCTCTAGTTTTCTACTCAATTATATTGGATGGTTGCAAAATTTTTGGCGAGCGACTTCTACAGCTAAAAATGGTAAAGAAATGGGACATAACGAGTAAATTAAATTACATTACTACATTTAACCCAAGCCGTTGCTAATAATGGAGTCCTCAAAATTACATTTTCGACCTTCGTTACTTTTGTCGCCTGATTTGAAGAAATATGTTGCCGAAGCCCTACAAACGCGTTCAGATGCTTACGGTGGTGCCTCTCCGTCATATCCCAACTGTTGGTTTTGATGTTAATGTTTCGAAAGTGATGATTTTCATGTCAATGAGGAAAAGAGGACCAAAAAAGTTCCCCTACCATGAATTGCAAGACGTATTGGACGAAAATCCAGCTCAAACTCTCGAAGAACTTTCCAAGAGCTTAGCGATTGATGAATCAACTATTTCTGGACGTTTACATGCAATGAGAAACTTTCAAAAGAAGAAAACATGGCTACCGTACGAATTGACTGAAAATGTCATTTCGAACTATTTCAACATCGCGGTTTCATTGGTTGTCAGATAAAAAAAAAAAGAGTTTTTTTATGACGTACTGTGACTGACGATGCAAACTGGGTCTACTAGGACAATCTCTAACGCTAAATGTCATGAGTTAGTCTGGTAGAGCCACTCGTATCAGCACCGAAGCGAAATATTTATGGCCCTTAAGTTTTGATGTGCATTCGATAGGATCAGCCAGGTGTAGTGTCTTACGAACTGCTAAAGCCGCATGAAACTGTTACTGGAGACGCCTACCGAGGTCAATTGAACATATTGAACGATGTATTGTTGCAAAAAAGACCAGAAAAAGTGGCTAACACGGCTACTATACGAATTAATTGAAAATAGAATTTTGGTTACTTGTTGCAAGAGTTGTCAAGGAGACACTATTGCAGCTCGAATAGGAACCTTTGCCACGTCCAGCGTACTCAGTAGACATGGCGTCTTCTGCAGCATGCAACATGGCATGGCTGGCACGCAGCTCCGTAAAATTGAAAAAGTGCGAAAATGTGTTAATGATTGGATCGCTCCCAAGCCGATATCCAAGGTCTTCCGAGATGGGAAAAACTTGTAGGAAATAATGGAAAATATCTTGCTTAATACACATTGTACCAACTTTTCTCAGTATGTGCCTTTTTCAAGTGAAAAAATGCCCAAAGCACCTACTAGCGTTTAAATATGGCTTAGCCCTCTGGTTAGCGTAAGGCTCGTTACGAGGATTGTTTCTTTTCTCAGAATATTCGAATACAATGCTTAAAATACGTAATTGGTTCATTTTTGTTGTTTTGCTGTTGTTTTCTAAAATGCGTATAATGGACCATTTGTGTATGCATATAATAATTTTATATTTATATTGCGTTGCTTTATCAGCCAAGGGAATTTAAGAAAAACTAATTATTTGAAAATGTGTTTTTTTTTTTTTTTTTTTTGATGGCTTATTACAAACATCGCTTCTAGAAAGAGGGTTGTTGCACTCCTGCTTACTTTGGAGTATTTAATTAAGCGAAGCATATAAATTTTATCCCGAAAAGTGTGCTATACATTAGCAAGCGTTGAAACAGCAGTGTATGTTGATAGACACATAACAGTTAATTTGCTACGGGTAAAGAACGAGAGAGAGAGAGAGAGAGAGAGAGAGGGGAAAGTTATGTTTTCCCACCATTTCTTGTTTCCACAGCTAGCTTTCAAGTATCCTTAAAACTTTCATTAGTTCTCCTACACACATATGGACTAATTTTCATAATATTCAATTCATAACATATGGTGCGGTATGCTTCCTTTCTTAAATGATGTTTAACGGATATGGATAAGCGTATACATGCATGTATGTATATTAAATTCTTTTGACGAGCTGCACATATGCGTATGTAAATATATGCGAGGGCATGTGTTTTCCATTATACATACATGAGGCATGCTATGTTTACATTTCTAAATGAAATAAGTTTTTCTTTATTTGAATACATACAACAACTGTGTTGGTATGCGCGTATATATATGTTTACTAACCGAATGCTAGCAGTATATGTGTTTAACAAATACTTCTCTTTTGCCTCGCCTTTCAATAGTCTGTATTATATGTATGTTTGAGTATTTGTTTAAGGGTAATAAAAGAATATTCTTTTAGTTTATATTTTGTTGCTCGAGGAAAAGCTGTTTCAAGTGTCATTGTTTTAGTTTCACCCGTTCACATAACTAACGAATTTTCTTTTGCAGCTGTGGTTAAGAGTTTTGCTCCCCCTTTTCCCTCCCGCAAAAACGTATTGACCGGAGTTGAGTTGCGATTTGAATTTTTGTATAAGAACAACGGACATACGAGATTCTTACGTTGAATCAACACTGCGATAGTGATGATTATATTGAAAACATATGTTCCCACTAAGGTTTATGAATTTGTTAAACTTTACAAAAAGGAAGCCAGAAGTTTTCCATACACTATACATATATTTTTTTTTAAATATTTCTTACAAAAATAATTAATTCCCTAACTGAAGGCTGATAACGAAAATTTTCTACGAAATTTTAAATTCACTTAATGCTGTGATTATTAGAAGAAAGTGCGACTAGTAGGAGGATAGTATTATTGCTATTTAACTATTTAAGACAACATGTCCCACACGAAGCTTCAAAGTAAGTACAAAATTTGCGTATGAAAATTCCAAGTATTTCCGATGAATGGCATTCGCCGATTCATTATTTTTAAGCCATCATAACTAAGAAAGTTCAAATCAATTAGAACTACGTAAGAATTGTAAAACTTTATTGAATCTTTTTTTGGCAATGCTTTTAACTTTTGATATAAA